ACGGATATTCAAGGCTTCATAATTGAAAGGACCTACCAAATCTTACTCCTTTAAAGAAAGGAATAATCACTTTTGATCTTGAAAAGGCAAGTCAGCCGCCTCTTGTGCCTATCCTTTAAAGACTCCGTAATTGCTCCTTCTTCAGCCGTTTAGATCTCCTCAGGGATGGTTCAACTTTTAAATTTTGAACTACCCTAGTATCTCTCTTGTGTATCCATTACAACTATAAATATATATCTAGTTGCCTTAGGTATTCAAAAAAAACTCTTCTTCTTTAACTTTAAGCTAAAAGAAAACCCCTAGACATTTCTGTGATGGCTCCAAAACAAAAACGGCTAACCAGGTCTATTACGAGTTCAACTGTGCCTACTCCCTCTTCTGATCAAACCAAAACACATAGCCATAGCCACCTAGTCCAAAAAATTCTTAAGTTAGTACCTGAATCAGAGATCACCTTCGATTCTTTCCATTGTGTTAGTCCTTTGAATGGACTAGGGCCGGCTCTGTTGAATGAGTTTCCTCCATCTTTATTTGAGTTTTACCCTGCAGTAAAGGATGATCTTGCATTTAATTGGGAGTACCCGTTGATCCTTGTCAAAGGAAAAAAGGTGAAACCCACTCTCTTTCTTAAGAACTGGCCAAGATGACGTCCATTATGGAGATCATGGGTCAATCGTCTCTCTAGTGATGATAAGATCGCCTCCACTTAGAAAATGCAAGTTATTTTCAATGCCATTCAATTGAGCAAGGTAACAATGATTTAGGACAAGAATCTTTTCTTTCCTGCTATCTTTTTCTGGTCTAATGTGACCAATTCTCTACATCTCCGGAATGGAATGATGCCTGTCACAATGAGGGACATTTGTTGTATAACTGGTTTGAAACCTCATGGAGACGTTATCAGTGCCTTGCCACATGTAGGTTCTTTCAGCTTTCCTTCCTCTAAGGATGGAAGCATGAAATTCTATTCCTCTCCTGTCCCTTTTATAGAATATCACAACAAAAAAATTGGGCCCATTGCTTTGAAAGAGCTCACTGCCTTCTTGATTTGTTGGCTTTCTAGACACTTATTTTGTGTTCCCTCTAGACAAGTCACCAAGGATTTTGTCCAGATTGCTATTGCTCTTGCCAAAGGTGCAGACTTAGCCCTTGCTCCTCTAGTTCTTTCTCATCTGTATCGAGGTATGAATGATCTTTTAGAGTTTAATTTCACTCACTTTGGTGGCCCATTCTGGATTTTCCAAGTGTGGCTAAAAATATATTTTCCTAACTTGACTGGTCCAATTTCTGTTCAACCAGAAAAATCTCTTTTATCTTATAGCTTTGTTAAAAGCCGACCCACCCCTTTCTCTTTTATAGAAGTATTTCGTTTCTTCTATGACCATAATGATTTCAAACCAAGCTCATCCTTAGATCCCTTTTTCACTTATAGATTGATGCCTTCTTGGCTTGTACCTTCTCCTGGAGTTTCAACCAAGAAATCTTCTGATGATTGGAAGAAAATTTGGGCAAGTCTTCTAATTTGCCGTGATTTGCACTATGGAACTTCCACTCCAACTTCAAAGAATAGTCGTTATGGGGTTAAATACTATAACCCGGCTCAGTTGGCTAGACAATTTGGCTTGACACAACTTATTTCTTTGCCCCCTTTTGAATCGGTTAATAGACTCTTTAATGCAAGAGTTAGATTTACCGAGAATGAGCAATTCCAGGCAGTGGATGAAAAGTATGCCTTGAAAAAAAACTCTTTTGAATTTAAAGGTTTTAATAGTTGTACAGAGGTAACCCAAGAATTCATTGATTAGTGGACTGGTTATGTTAACTCAACCAGAAAGTTGGCTTATATAGAGGTTTGTAACAGGCTTCTGAACTTTTTTAAGCCTATCACACCAAGTCGTGAAGAAACATTCTTTGATAGTAAGCTTTCCGTACTTTGAGTCTTTCTAGAATAATCACATATAACCTGTTAATAAAACCTCCTCTATTTTAACAGATAATGATGCCGATGGAAAGGATAAGAATCCTGTCGGCAAGAAAGATCAAGTTGGCGTGTCTGCAGATATAGAAGGTATTGAAGGAGGTGGGGATATTAATCCAGAAGGCTCTGGTGGTAACAAACCTCTAGGAAGTGACAAAGACGTGGCTCTTATGAAGGTTAAGAAAGAAAAATTTCAAGGATGAGCTCTACAAATCAAAGGAAAAAAAGAAAGCTGTTTCCTCTTCTTAGGTATTTATAAATACCCTTTTAGTTGACACAACATCCTTTTCAATTCCTTTCTTATTGAATTTATTGGACTTTTCTATTGGACAGGTTTTAGCCACTGCTAAGAAAAAGTACATACATCCTATCACTTTGTCCAGTGATGATAACTCCTCTACTGCCTCTGAAAAAAGTACCTCAAAGAGGATTTCTTTTGTGAAAATTTCTGCAAAGTCCATGAAACATGCAAGTCCACTTGATCGAGATCGTCCCTTGAAAAGTAAAAGGAAACTCCTTGTGGACCTCGAATTAGATGAAGATCCTGATTTTTTTCAACTTACCCCAAAAACAAAGAAAGCAAAGAAAGAAATTAACTTAGTGAGTTAATCTTTATTGCCCTTTCTTTGACTTGCACTTAGCTAACCATAACTCTTTCTTCCAGGGAGCTTCCACAAGCCACAATCTATTGAACATTGCTTTGGAGAGTATTCCATTGGAGGAATAAGACTTGGATCTCCAAAAGTCCATTGTTGCAAGTTTAATTACCCCAACCAGTTTAGGTATCAATGTCATGCCTACTTCCATTGATCCCATTATGGTTATCCCTCCTTTGAAAGTTTTAGCTGGACTTACTCCATCCATTCTAGAGGTAAACCATTTTCCTCTTAAATTTCTAGTATCATTTCCTTAATTAAACCTAAACTGTTTCCTTTATTGTGATGTAGACAACTCATTCATTGTCTACCTCTACCTCCTTTATAGTAAAAAGAAGAGCACTCCCAGCTATGTATGACTTGTATAAAGTGGCTAAGGCCTCGAAATCTTCAAGCACTTCCACTTCCAGTGCTAGTATTCCTGTTACTCCTTGTCCGGGGAGGTCTTAAGAGTTACTAAAACTCAGTTGCTCCAATACCTTAAGAAGAACATTGAAGAGATTCCTTCATTTTAACAAAACTTGATCACTGTCTTGTCTACCTTGAAGAAAAATCCAGAGTTTTCCCAAGAAATTAAGCTTTCCTTAAACCAATTGCAGCACCAGCTCCCTTTCTTGGTGGCAAATATCAATTCTTTGGCAACAACTATTGGTGAACTCAATTAGAAAATTCAGTTGAAGGATAAGGCTTCTGAGGATATCAATAACAGCCTCTTTCCTTATCCAGAGATCAAAACTAAGTTTGAGCAAGTGGCTGATAAAAAGGAAAGTCTTATTGCTGAGATGGAAAGAATTCAAAAGGAATTGGAGAGACTTGAGACTGAAGAAGCTGAATTGGAACAAATTGTTCAAGCACTTTTTGCTGAGTCAAGCAAACATAGGAAGAGCTGGGAAGACCTTACTAAAGAAATTCCTCTTCTAGAAGAAATGAAAAACAAAGCCGTGGAAGAGGCAGATCAATCCAAGCTTCTTTGGGAAAGCTTCAAAGGCAAGTTTGCCTCTTTATGATGATGTGGTTCTTTATTAGTACTTGTGTCCCTTATTGGACACTTTCTTTTGATGTAATAATCACAGGTGTTTTAGCTTTGTACACCTTTTCTTTTGAATGGCACGTAATGAAACTTTCTCACATATTGAAATGCCATTTTTAGTTTCATCTTTCCTTTGCACTCTCAAACCACACTTTATTTAATTGAAATGGAATGCATAAAAAATAAAAGGGCAAGATTGAAAATATAACTTGAGAACCATGAGTTGGTTCTAAATGCAATACTTTAAGAACATGAAATAACCAAAATACCTCTTGCTGGAATACTTGGTTGTTATATTCATTTGGAAATCCTATGAAAGTTCATAATTGACGAGGCCAGTGAAACGACCATTGGAAACTTTTCAAGTATTTCCATAGGAAATCCTTTTCCCCTTCCAAATGCTACTTTCCTTTTGGAAGGCTTGACCAATCGCTTATTTGGCTGGTCTTAGTATCATTTTCTCTCATGCCTCAAAGATTGGGGGGTGGTACGGTTTCAAGTATACCCCATTGATGGGAGATGAATGAGGCTCACCATCTATATCCATCAACTGATAGGCTCCTATTCCTAGAACCCTTTTAACCAAGAAAGGTCCTTTCCATTTTGGAGTCCACTTGCCATACTTTATATCTCTAGTCCAGAGCGGCAATTTGACTTCCCAAACCATGTCTCCTTTTAGAAAAGACTTGGCCTTTACCTTTTTGTTGTAAGCTCGTATTACCTTTTTCTTCTGTGCAATGACATGTTCTAAAGCACTTAACCGGACCTCATCAAGGTCTTCTAACTCTGCTAGCATAGCATGAGTATATTCAGCTGGAGTTAGCTCATTTTGAAAAACTACTCTTGCTGACTTCACTGTCATTTCCATTGGAAGTACTATATCGTGACCATATGTTAACATATAAGGAGTAACTCCAGTACTTGATCTTTTTGAATTTCTATATGCCTATAGTGCTTCTGACAAAAGGTTATGCCACTGCCGTGGATATTTTTCAATCATCTTCTCAATTATGCCAATGATGACCTTGTTAGACGCCTCTACTTGTCCATTTGCCTGAGCAAAGTATGGAGTAGAGCTTGTGAACTGGATATTATATACTTCAAAGAGATCTTGCACCATACTTCCTAGAAAGGAAATACTTCTGTCTGTGGTGATGGTTTCTGGAATTCCAAACTGGTGAATGATATACTTTTCAATGAAATCCATCACTGTTGATTGTACACAAGATTTTAAAGGAATGGCTTCCACCCATTTCGTGAAATAATCTGTGGCCATTACTATATGAGTATGGTCATCAGCAGAAGGAGGTATGATATTTCTAATGAAATCTAATGCCTACCCTCTAAATGGCCAACTCTTTACCATAAGTTGCATGTTGATGGTTGGTACTCTCTGAATAGGACCATACTTCTGACAAGCTTGACAACTTTTGGTAAAGTCATTACAGTCTTTTAAAATGCCTCTCCAATGATATCCGTACCTTTTTAGAAGCCATCTCATCTTTGTTTCGGCTTGATGGGCTCCACATAGCCCGTTATGAACCTCCCCCATAACTTGAATTGATTCCAGCTTGTCCAAACACCTGAGGAGAAGACCATCCTCTTTGCTTTTCTTGTACAATTCTCCATCCATTAGAATGTAGTGAGGAGCTACAAGCTGAATTTTCTTATTCACATTTGTGCTTGGATTCATCAGGAACTTAATGATGGGGACTCTCCAATCATCTAGATATGCCTCCTCCAAGTCAATATAGTTAACTTCCAAATGTTCATTCCTCATTTCTATAGATGGAAGTGGTCTCCTTTCTATTGATATTATGGTTTTTTCTACTCCAGGTGGAACTTTTATACAGGATGCTACCTAATCCAGTCCGTCTGCCTCTTTGTTCAGGTGTCTTGGCCAATGCTGTAACTGATAATCATCAAATTGATTAAGTAATTGTAAGGCCAAGAAATACAAAAGGCCTCAGATGATGACTAAGGCATCTATATTCATCAGCTAACTGGTTGATCACAAGCTTGGAATCTCCAATGATAAGTACACTTCTGGCTTTCATTTCTTGTAAAATTTCCAAACCAATTATGAGTGACTTATACTCAACCTGGTTATTAGTACATAAATAATCCAAAAAGAAAGAAAATGATGTCTTCATTTTCCTTGGAAAAATTATGATAATTCCAGTTCCGCCTCCATCGCTAATACATGAACCATCAAAGAATAATGTCCATGGAGAATGTTCGAGGTAGAGACTATCCACCTCGTCACACATTTTTGTTACTATTTCAGTGGAAGGGTGATCAGCCAGAAACTCTGCTAATGCACATCCCTTGATTGCTTTCTGTGGAATGTACTTAAAACTAAACTCCAACAAGGCAATTGACCACTTTCCAATCCTTCCAGTAATCAAAGGCCTCGATAGCATGTACTTAATCAAATCAGTTTGAGAAACAATGTACATAATAACCAGAAACGTGTATATTCTTAATTTCATCATAGAATAATACAAAGCAAGACATAACTTTTCAATTAGAGTGTACCTATATTCAACTGGAGTGAGTACTTGACTAAGAAAGTAAACAGCCTGTTCCTTTCCCCACTCATTATTTTATACCAATAGAGTCCCAATGGATTCCTCAACTGCCGATAAGTATACCTTAAAGGCCGCTTCTTTATTGGTGGCATCATTATAGGTGGATTGATCAAATATCTCTTGAGTTCTTCAAAAGCTGCTTGATGCTAGTTTGTCCACTGGAAATCTTCTATTTCTTTCAACTTCAGGATGGATGAAAAAACATGGGTTTTTCCAGCATAGTTGGAAATGAATATGCGAATAAAACCTATCTGTCCCAGAAACCTCTGAAGCTCTTTATTACTCTAAGGAGGTTGTGCTTCCATAATGGCCTTAGCTTTATTTTTGTCAACCTCTATTCCTCTCTGATGGACCAGAAAGCCTAAGAAATTTCTAGCTGAAACTCTAAAAGCGCATTTCAATGGATTCATCTTCAACTTGTGCATCCTCATCCTTTTGCAGGCCATTTCTACGTTAATCAAGTGTTGAGGCTTTTCTGAGGACTTGATGACCACGTCGTCTATATAAACCTCCACAAACCTACCAATCATATCATGGAAAATCACATTCATCACCCTTTGGTAGGTAACACCTGCATTCTTAAGGTCGAATGGCATAACCACCCACTCAAATGTCCCAATGGAGCCTGGATATCTGAATGCCGTCTTTAATAAATCTTTTTCAGCAATATAGATCTGGTTATAACCGGAATGGCCATCCATAAATGATAGAATTCCATTCTTTAGCGCTGCATCTACCAATAAATCTCCCACGAGCATTGGATAATCATTCTTTGGAGTTACAAAATTGATATTCCAGAAATCTATGCATACTCTTAGCTTGCCATTCTTCTTGATGACTGGCACTATATTTGAAAGCCATTGCACATACCTGGTAGTTCTGATCAAACCCGCCTTTAAAAGCCCTTAAATTTCTTCTTTGACTTTCAGAATAACTTCCTATGACATCCTTCTAGGAGGTTATTTGAAAGGCCGGTACCCTTCCTTGATTGGTAGCTTATGCTCCACCAATTTTCTAGAAAGACCATGCAGCTCATCATATGTCCAAGCAAAGCAATCCTTAAACTCTTTCAAGAAAAAAAAATCAATTCTTCTTGAAAATTTGGTTCCAACAGTCCACTTATATAGGTTGGCCGTGGATTTTCCTCTGTCCCCAAATTAATTTCTAACAGTGGATCTTGAACCTCGGCCTTTAAATCATCAAGCTTTGCTGGAGCAAACTTCAAGTTTGCTAGTTGAATCACATCTAATTTACTTTCTGGACCTACCAAGTTACTGGAAAGTACCTTGGCACATCGTCTACTTCGTTCCAGCCGTAATTCGGCTAGGTATGCTTTTAATCTTGCCAGGCAACAGTTCACCGCCTGGTTTCTTGCCCTCTCTTTCTTGTGAGTTTCTTCCATTAAGACTATTCAAAGTGTAAGGCATTAGACGTCGGCCTGTGAGAAGATTACTGGCCTTGACATCTCCTGGAAAATCTCCTTAGCTTCTTCTTCCGTAAGAGTTTTCTGCATTATCGCCGACTTGGGTCGACCCTTGCTGTCTTTTCCAATGAACCTTATTGGCACGAACTCTCCATTGTAAATCTTAGCATCTGCATGATACACTTTAGCAATGAATGGTTTGTTGTTCGCCTTTACAATCTTAACTTCATCGCCATCCCAAAATATTAGCATTTGATGCAACGTGGATGGAATGCAAAAATTGGGATTTATCCATTCGCACCCTAATAATAAATTATAGGCCATTGTGGATTCCACAATTAAAAATGTTGTCATAGTTGTAACATCTCCAACAGTCAATTCCAATGGAAGGATTCCCTGTGTTTCCACTGAACCTCTAGTAAAACCACTGATAGCCACATCACTAGGAATTACATCCTTAGCTGTCTTACCCAATTTCCTCATTACATTAATAGGAACAATATTTAGAACTGAGCCATTGTCCACCAAGTCTTGAAAGTGGATGTCCCTTAATTAATACCTTTATGTAGAGTGGCTTTAATGAGCATTAAAAAGTGCACATTTAAATCCCTTAAGCTTTAACATTCTAGGACCGTTATCTATCTTATTTTCCCGTTTTAGACTAATTTCATGTTATTGCCCTTTTCAGGCACTTATCCCCAAAATAAGTCAAGTCAGCCAAATTAGAGCATAAAAGAAACAATCTCAAGCTGAATGGAAGAATGGAGCAAAGTGGTGGAAATCAGTAATCTTCGATCGATCAGGAATATTTTCGATTGATCTCACATTGATCGATCTCACCTCACCAAGATGGATCAGACCCCTTGTCCTTATCCAAAAGAATTCACCATCTTCGATCGATCCAACTTTCTTCAGATCGATCGAACTTCATTAATCTGATCCTCACCTACCACTTTTGTCTTTATCTCAAAATATCCTAAAATATCTCAGAGATTTGTCGTATTCCAAAAAGGCGCCGCCAAGGATGGATCGATCTTGCCAACATTCGATAGATCTCACCAAAGTTTAATCGATCTCATCAAAGGTCGATCGATCAAACCCTCTTAAATGCGAATTAAAACAGAGTCCAGCTCATTAAAAGTTAGCTCATGGTTTAATCATTGGAGGAGCCTTAGTGCACGAGTCCAGACCATTGAATGTGACACTTGAGGTACCTATATAAGGACTTTGAGCCACTTTTACAAAAGATATATCATACTTTAGAGAATTAATCTTGAAGAGACAGGAGAGGCTAGAGATACACACCATTGGGGAGCTCTTCTATTCATCTAGGGTTTCCATCAAGAAGGAGATCATTCCTACCATGGAGATAACCCTTGAGGGTTAGAGGACTACATCAATGAGTGGCTAAACATCTTCTTGGGGCTAGAGTTAGCCCTAAGCATGCCTTCTAGACCTTGATGTTGTATATTTTGAGGGGATTTGTGTTATAATGTTGTCTTGACACTTGATTTATATATGAATCTTGTTCTTACAATGATTTATGTTGATTAATACTTCCAATTGATCATTTCATTCTATCCATATGTTTATGTATACTTGAGTAGAAGTTCATGTGTTTATCTCTTGGTTTTGTGATATTGATGCATGTCTATCTGTGTTGATGCTATGAATCTAGAGATTGTCAAGGCATAATGCTTAATTAGAATACTTTTGTGGTTTGTTTGATGGTTCATGCTCATTTCTTGATGGATTGTGCCTCTCCCTTAGCTTAATTAGTTTAATTTTCATGTCCCTAGATTAGTTGTAGTGTAGATGCATTACTTTCCTAGATGAAAGGACAATCCATGCTTGTTATTTGATGTTCCATACTTATGAATGCAAGTAGTATATTTCTCTAACCATTTGATGTGTTTGGATTGTGAACTTAAAGGAAGGATTAATGACTTGATTTGATATATTATGCTATTCATTAGGTTGTTTAGACAATGTATACTCAATTGGTCATCCATGCTTGTTGATTCAATAAAAAACACACACTTAAGTTGCAACACATGTTTCCCCTCATCTATTATACATTAGAGTGTTTAGAAAGGTGATGTTTAGTGGTGACCTATAAGTTCCAAGATCTCTCTCTCTTTTGTTATCTCTATCTTTAATTTACTATTGCTTGATTTACATTGAACTTGCTTAATTTTGTTGTAGTTTAATCAACCAACAAACTATATTTTGATCACTTGACCTACTAATCCAACCTTGTTTCCATATTAGCATAGCTTCCATTTCCCTTGCGACGATCCCTACTCACCCTAACTACGTTAGTAGTATTGGTGGTAGTGGCTTTTACAAATTTAAACTTGCCCACTTAACACGTTTTAGCTTGTTGCATTCGACACACACTAAGTTTTGGCGCCGTTGCCGGGGATCTAGGCAATGCCGTGTTTTGGAAACAATTAGGAATTAGTACCCTTTTGATCGTATCTTTACTTTATTTTCTTTTTAGTTACTTATTTTGTTTGTTCTTATTTGGCTAGGTGAATGGAGCAAGGAAGTTAAGCAAAGGAGAATTCAAAACAAGGAGCTAATCTAAGCACAAAAAGGGCTAAAATCTAAAAATTGCAAAGCTAAGCAGAAAAATTGAAAAATCATTTGAAGTTGCTTAAGGACCCCTTGTGAGATCTTTCTAACTCAATCTCTAGTTAAATCATCGGCCCGAGTGGTGGCAAGTTTTTAAATTCTTAGATAAATCGTGAGCCCGCGTGGAGG